AGTCCACAACGAGCTCGCCATAGCCCGTGCTACTTGGAACTTGTTGTTAAAGATTCGTTACTTGGAACAAAAACAACCCAAAAATTCTGAAACGAGTTAGCCACTTGATTTAAACGTTCTCGTCTATAAACCTGGGACACAAGAGCTGAAGTTGAGTGTCTGCAAGAACTGTTAGAGGAAGGGGTCGGGGAGAGGGTGGACTTCAAACTAAGATTGACTGGGCCCCAATCTTATATTGTTCTCTGTTGATCCAGCAGTATTTGTGTACCAGAGAGTCAAGCCAATTGACGGGTCGCGTTTTAGGTAAAACCATAAGGTTAAGGCCAACCAAGATCTGGAAGGGGAAGCTGGCAGCCTGATAAGAGGAGTCGGAAGTAGTCTGCTCCTATACCCACCTGTGAGACACAAACAATAGCAGTGCGCAGTGCGTGAAGAATTATTTATTTTATTATTATTTTCTACCACAGACGTGGCCAGACATTTACAATGCTAACCAGTATATATACATTTTCTTCTGTCCTCCATGGACAGGGTGAAAGATCTGGTAAACATATAGTTCAGGGATTTATTGAACAATCGACTACAGAAGGTGATTGTGGTGCCTTTAAAATACTAATCTAACCTACAGACATAAATACATAGATACACAAAGTTGCGTGTGCCCTACATAAAGTGGTCGATGTGTTCTTTACATAGTCATTAATGTGTATTTACAAAGAATCTATAAGAAACCCGAGTTGTAGGTCCCCTCCCATCCCTGCCCTCCCCTCCCCCTATCCCTGCTTCCCCCCCCTATCCCTGCACCTCCCCCCCCAACCATCTGTTGATAACGTGGAAGGCTGGCACTCTTAGTATATACGCACAGAGTGCCACCAAGGCCATGAGGCTGGAAAATAGGTCAGAGCCACGCAAACCTGCGCAGTAAGCTGGATCTTAATCAAAAAATACATTTTTAATTATAAATATCATAATAGAAATGAATGGCGATTTATAATATTACCCACGATCTTCCTCGCAAATAATGAGAGAGAGAGAGAGAGAGAGAGAGAGAGAGAGAGAGAGACAAACAAACAAACAAACAATAAACTAGAGGAAGGACACAGCGTGAAAAAGATCCGCGCGAATAGTTGAAGAGGTGACAAAGTTCTCCTGTTCTGCTGCAAGTTGAAGTAAATAGTTCTGCCTTGTACGATTCTTGTGATTAGCGAACACATCCACAGGCGCCGTGATGAGGGTTCGAACCTATGGCAAGGGTGTTCCCAGGCCGCGCTCTAGTCGACTTCGCACACAATATATTGATATATCGTGATATATCATTGATATATCACGTTAATGTGACTTTTCTGTGTATTCTTCTGTTTATTGTGCACCCCATACTCGTACTGTGAGCGGTAGCGCAAAAAAGGATTACAGAGGGAGGAGGGAGGGAATTGTCAGGGGAAAACACCAAGCCATTAAGACTATATAGCCACTGGGAAGGGGTCAGGATAAGGATTTGGGATGGGACGGGGGGAAAGGAATGGTGCCCAACCACTTGGACGGTCGGGGATTGAACGCCGACCTGCATGAAGCGAGGCTGTCGCTTCTGTCCAGCCCAACTTTGATTACAGAGGGAACAAAAGTTCATAATCAGACATCAGCGGAAAGATCTACATTAACAATTACGTCTAATCACCACAGTTTATAATTAAAATGTCAGCTAGTTATAATCTTTGCACTGCAATGTGTGTGTATTTAACGATACATTGGAGGCAAGTCTTTTGTTAATGCATGAAATAATTTTCACTGTTGGATATTATAGGAACTAGAAAAGCTACAGTTTCATTATTAGTCTTCACGACTTGTACAGTAATCATACATATTGATCTATTGGAAGCAAATATGATACAGTGCAAGAATTTCAGATATTGTATCATTTGTAATAAGATGATTTTCTACTTCATGCAATGAAGCCTTTAGTTTATCAGTAAATGGCTCAATTTGTTAACAATATAAAATGTTAAGCTGTAGTGGGTTTGTCTGAGACCACAAGTCATGTCATCTGTGCTCTGGGGCCAGACTCACGAAGCAGTTACACAAGCACTTACGAACCTGTACATCTTTTCTCAATCTTTGACGGGTTTGTTTACAATTATTAAACAGTTAATGAGCTGCGAAGCACCAGGAGGCTGTTTATAACAATAACAACAGTTGATTGGCAAGTTTTCATGCTTGTAAACTGTTTAATAAATGTAACCAAAACCGTCAAAGATTGAGGAAAGATGTACACGTTCGTAAGTACTTGCGTAACTGCTTCGTGAATCTGGCCTCAGGTACTTGTAGCCAAGTCATACTCTAGTCGTGACATCTGTCACACTCTTGCCTCCATACTATTGTGTGTCCAACCACTTGGGCTGGACGGTAGAGCGACGGTCTCGCTTTATGCAGGTCGACGTGCAATCCCCGACCGTCCAAGTGGTTGGGCACCATTCCTTCCCCCCGGCCCATCCCAAATCCTTATCCTGACACATTCCAAGTGTTATATAGTCGTAATGGCTTGGCACTTTCCCCTTGATAATTCTCTCACTCCATACTATTGTTTTGCTTGACATGGGCAGTGGATCTCCTAGTGCCTGTTTGTGTTAAAGTTTAAACTTTACTTGTACTTGTACTTTAAAGTTTCTTAAAAGGGTTACCGTTATTCACACTTTAGAATGCTATTTGACGGACCAAAATTCAGCATTTTTTTATTTACTGCAAACTGAAGGGGCATCAGCTTCTTGCTTATGCAGTCCAGTGTGAGAGGGGATCCACAAGAGACTGACTTTGCATACATATTAAGCATACAAGCATACTTGTATTAAGTATGCTTATTAAGCATACATATGCATGCATATGTATCCAGAGGGGAAATGCACACTGCATCTATGGTTCCTGCCCGCCATCTGAGGAGCTGGAGGAACTCTACAACCTGTGACAAGTAGCCTTGTACCTTGCATGTAACCAATGTTCTAAATCCTTTTCGTGTCATGAAATTTTAATAATGATATATAAATTATGTCTGGCTTCGGAGACAAGCACTTTACAAGTTGATTGCTAGAATTCAATAGCTTACAATGATGAAAGGCATTGTGAGATAATTAAGCTGTCGCAGTGTGTTGTCATTTTGAGCGCTACATGGATAGCTAATAGTTTTAACTTGTGAGGTAGTGACTTGTTCTCCTACCCACGTGTGTGTGTGTGTGTGGGGGGGGGGGGGAAGACATGGGCAGGGATAATGTAGGTTGTGTGTGTAGTGGTGGTGTAGTTGGTGAGGTGAACAGAGAGCACTACCTGCACCTCCAGCATCCTGGCGCACACTGAATGACGCCAACGCGCTGGGCGTCACGCCAGCCAGTATTCTTGGGTCCCCACGCACGCACGCATACACATACATATATCTGAAGTTCCTGTTCACCTAGCAGTAAATAGTACCTGGAAATTAGTAAGCTGATACGGGTTGCATCCTGGGAATGTGTTTGTGTGTGTGTGTACTGGGCTATTTATACCTGTAGGGTCGAGAATTAGCTCTTGGACGCCGCCATTCCATCCGTTGGTTGTGTATAGCAGTGGCCTATTTCCCAATCGTATCTAATTCTAAAATTATGAACGGACTTTGTGGAAGCAAAGTGCTACTTTAGGTCCGTCCATCTTTCCACTATTCTCACGCTAAATGAAAACTTTGAAACATCTGTGACACATGTTAGTCTCAAGCCTCCACCCGTGTCCTCTTGCTCTGTTGATACTCATTGTGAACATTTCCTGTTTTTCCACTCTGTCAATCGTTGTTGTTTTTAGATTCAGCTACTCGGGAGAAAATGTCCATGTAGCACGGGCTATGGTGAGCCCGTAAACAAATTTGTCAATCCTCCTCTTAGTATTATTATACATCTTTATCTCGTCTTCCCCTCTCTATCCTTTTTTTTCTAGGGACTTTAGGTTTAGTTCCTTCTGTCACTCTACTTACCCCATCCCTTGCAATTCTGGGACAAGCCTCTTCGCAAAATAATGGACCTTTTCTAGTTTCCTTGTGTGTGTTTCTTTAAGTGGGGGCTCCACGCTGGGGCGCCATGTTCTTAGACTGGCATGTGGCATTGTACAGCGATCTGAAAGCCTCCTTATTTAGGTTCCTGAATGATATTCTAACTTTTGCTAGGGTAGAGTACGCTGCTGTTGTTATCCTATGTATATGAACCCCCCCGTAGCCTGGTGGATAGCGCGCAGGACTCGTGATTCTGTGGCGCGGGTTCGATTCCCGCACGAGGCAGAAACAAATGGGCAAAGTTTCTTTCACCCTGAATGCCCCTGTTACCTACCAGTAAATAGGTACCTGGGAGTTAGTCAGCTGTCACGGGCTGCTTCCTGGGGGTGGAGGCCTGGTCGAGGACCGGGCCGCGGGGACACTAAAGCCCCGAAATCATCTCAAGATAACCTCAAGATAACCCCCCGGAGTTAGATTTGGTGTTACGTCCAAGCCCAGGTCTTTTTCTCTAGTTACAGGGAGGTTAGGTTACCTTCCGTTGGATCTCGCCTGTTTCTATTACTTTACACTTGCTCGTATTGAACTCCAGTAGCCACTTCTCGGACCATCTCTGCAACTTGTTCAAGTTCTCTCTCGGACTCTTGCAATCCTCATCTGTGTTGTGTCAAAGGCTTTTTGGCAGTCCAGAAATACTAAATATGGTTAGGTGAGGTAAGGTTGGAGAGAGTTATACCTGAGGGGCCACCATCTTTCTTTAGTGGCCTCGACGGGGCCAGGAATCCGGCGGCTTGTCAAAGGTACTTCCCTATTGATCCTGAGAACATTAGTTTAAAATCCAGTTGGAAAAAATGTTGCCGTTTGCGGCTATGGCGAGTAGGCAGTTCCATGGGTTATAAATCTTTGGATAAATTACTTGTTCATGACGTGTGACGTGTGACACTGTCTGGGGGTGTTGGTGAAGGTTATGGTGGTGTAACTGGTGGTGTTGTGACCTCTGCAGGGCGGGTGGCACTGGCTGGGGTGGGCGGCGGACTCCTGGTTCTGGGTGGACCATCCTCACATCATGAGCGTGTGGGGCGTGGTCTACGACGATGTCACCAGCAACGCCTTCTACCTCCTTGACACGCCCATCGCCACGCTCGACCAGATCCAGGTGAGGCACTCCTTTCCCACCTTCTCTTATACCACTGGCACCTCTCCACCCACGCCAGACCACCTCTCCTAATCCTCTATTTACCCATTTTTTTCTTATTCTAAAGATATTCCCTTTGTAGCCATTGTTTAAGTGTTCTATTTTGATTATAAATATTTAACACCATATTAATATCTCTTATTCCTTCTCCTTCTCCTTTTATATACTTCAGGCATGTCAGTCTTCCCAAGTGTGCAGTGTAAATTAAGCCTTCTCAATGTGTCTTACTGTGGAAGGGCTGTGATTCCTGGGAATAACTTGTCTATTCTGTGTAGTAGTAGTAGGCATCTATCAGTCTCGGGAGACTGGAGTTTCGGTGTGGAGTGGCTTCTCCAGGGGGCAAAATCATGGTAGGTTGATATGGGGGAGAAGCTGTTACCCATGCAGCAGGTGTTCCTCTCTCCACGGGTCAAAACTGAACTGCATAATGTGAAGATGGTCTAACCCCGTGGTGTTGTGCCCTCAGACTCGACTGACGGCGTGCGGGTGCTCGGTGCCGGAGGAGCTGGTGTGGACGGTGGTGTACCAGGTGGGGTCGGCGCTCCTGCATATGGTCGAGGCTGGTCTACCATACACGCCTCTCGCACTCGACAATATCTTCCTGCTCAGGGACAGACTGGCCCTTGAGAACATGCTCTCCAGGAAGCACAGGTGAGGAACCCCAGGATCACTGCTGGTAGAGGCGCAGTACTGCGCCCGGCCCCTAGCCAGGGCGGTCCACATGCCCGTAGTGTTATGTGGAGGGCGGTCCACATGCCCGTAGTGTTATGTGGAGGGCGGTCCACATGCCCGTAGTGTTATGTGGAGGGCGGTCCACATGCCCGTAGTGTTATGTGGAGGGCGGTCCACATGCCCGTAGTGTTATGTGGAGGGCGGTCCACATGCCCCAGTGTATGTGGAGGGCGGTCCGCATACTGCAACCCTTTCTCGCACTTGCTTATAGTCAATATTTGGCATATGAAGAAGTGCATATGTGACATACTAATTTATTGTGAATATTTGAGTTTACCTTGAAATGCTGAATAGAAAACACCGACCTAACCTTCTTAGTATGTTAAAATATTACAATTAGTACTGAACCTATACCTATATTGATATTACAGTTTTATAAAAATAATAAAACAAAACTAAAATATTTAAATAAATGGTAAAGTAACTTAGGATATTGTCAAATTTTGTTTAAAATCTCTATTGTTTAATAAAACCTGAGAGGAAGTTAGTGCCTTGAAAAAAAATATGGCTTGGAATATGTCACACATGTACTTATTTATAAGCCAAATAGTGACTATAAGCAATAAGTCCTATATGTGCTGTCTTGTGCGGGTAGTAAGGCACACTCCCGCTCCCATGGTGAGTCAAAACTCGCCACAGCTCCCGGGGAAGGTTTGTGAGGAGCTGGGATTGTTGTTGTTGCTGTTCAAGATTCAGTTACTGGGAACAAAACGTTCCAAGTAGCACGGGTTATGGTGAGCCCGTAGTGGACTTACCTGGCACAGGAGCGGGGCTGTAACTTTCAAAAGCTGGGAGCGCAGACAGCTTGATATAATGTACACCCGTAGTGCGACATTGTCCTCACTGGTGCGGTGTCTATGGTGCTGCAATATTTAAAGTTCAAGGACCCTCATGTAATTAATGTGTGTAGTGAGGTGCACACCATGCAGCTGGTTCAGCGCATATGGCCAAAAGTCGACGTAATTTGAAATGAAATCGGCTCATGAAAGTGACGTACTGTCCCGTTTTCTGTTTGAGTCGTCCGGCTTACTCGGAAAGGTTAGGAGAGGAAACTTTCAATTACCGTTTTTCATAACGTTTTGAAACTTTGAGAATTTCCTACCCACCTAACCTATCAGAGGACCTTTAACTAAATGTTGTTGAAAAAATCTCAATTTTTATTTTTTTCATTTTCAAATTACGTCCACTTTCGGCCATAGGGGGAAACGGCCAAAAGCAACGTTATTTTTAAGAGGACAGGTTGGGCGCGTTTACTCTTGGCATTGGTTAGTCTTAACTCGTTAAGTAAACACAAGCTTTAAGTATTTGAAATTGATAGTATGCTGTTAAAATTATCATCTTTTGAAGTGTATTTAACAATAGCATTTTAATGATTTAACTATATTTTTTCTAAGTAAATGACAATTGTTCTATACGTGATCAGGAATAGGATATTGATGATAGTCAATTGCCTTTCCTGGTGTATTTTTTTTTACTATGATTTTATCTAGTCGTGTATTTCCAGGATGACTGGATGTGGGTGTGAGGCGTGGCGGGGCTCGGCAGGCCACCAGCGAGCTACAGCTGCTGGACCCTCTGAGCGGTGCTTCATTCACCACGTGGGACAAATCATCTTCGCACTCATTACTTGTCACCTGCGGTCACAGCCGGAGGGAAGCGTGCCGCCCTGCAGTCCCGTCAACACGCTGCGCTCCCTCAAGCACCTGTACTCTCCCACGCTGCTCAGACTACTCTCCCGCACCCTGGCGGGGGGCGTGAGTGTGGCCTGGGGGGTGATGGGCGGCGGTGGGGAGGGCAGGGTGGCAGTGCGAGCCTTCCAGTGGGAGACACAGTGGGAGCAGTTGGACCCCTGCCCGGAGGCCGAGTGGCCGCTGTCTGCACCTGAGCCACTGTTTACCGACTTTTTTAACCTGCCGCTGCACACTCGACCCGTGACCAAGGATACTCCATACTCCAGCGGCAGTCATTGCCGCCCTGTAGCATCCAACCCGTCCTGCACACACTCTGGAGCCTCGCAGGGGGATGGTGAGAGCCCTTCCCGGGGTGTGCACGACCCCACCACCCACTCCGTGAGGAGCAGTGATGCAGGTGTGATGGCTGGCTTCCTACACGACAATGCTCCTGTGCAGCTGCTGCAGGTGGTGGTGATGGCTGCAGAGAGGATCCTGGCGCTGCGTCCGGCCACCACCCTGGCGGAGGCCATCCTCTCCTCCCCCCACCGTCTAATTCAACACGTAATGACCGCACAAAAGAAGCACCTTAAGACTAAGTAATACAGTGGGGCCATGTCAAGTAGGTGCTTCTCTGTAATGTGAAATATTTCATTAACGATTTAGTGTTGGTCAGTCATTTTAGTTGACAAAGTGAAAGTGTTGTAGTTTTTCAGGCGACAAAATCACTCTAAATTGGCCGACAGGAAGATGAGCTAGCTGTAATATGGGGCTCCATGTCTAAAGATATATCGGTGTGTCTTAGTCACCGGGAGTGTAAGATGTTCACGGCTTGGCTAGCAAGTGTGCTGTAATTACATAGAAACTCTGAGCATAAATTAAATGTTTGAATAATATTCTAAAATGATATTATAAAATTCAACAGTTGAAGAATTTATGGTTCCTATGAAATATTTAGTCCTAAAACCACGAACATGTCTGATACTGATAAAACAAGTTTGCCTTAGAATTGCATCATCAAATACAAGTGTCAGTATCAGCTCTTAAGGTCAAGTATATAAAAGTTACCAAGCCTCGCCAGTCTGGTCAAAAACAGATTCGTGTTTTGTTCAGTTTTGAATGTTCCTTAAATGTTCTAGGTAAAAGTTTACCTCGTGCAGGTACCACTGAAGACATTTTATAATGCACAGATCAGAGGAGCAGAAACAAAGTACCAGGCTGTAAACCTTATTGCTGTACTAAACTTTACACCTCTCCACGACTTAAACTTTGACATGAGAAGAAGCCTAATCAATTTACATTTTCTGTGTGAATTCCAACAAGTTGGATTCAAATACACAGCACATTTATCGCAGATGTTTTCTAACAACTTTAACACATACTTTTAGTACGGCTTTCGAGTAACATTACTGTAATTATCATGTAATAATTTAGTATGACGCTTTGAGTAACATTACTGGGAGATAACCAGTGTGACATTGCCATAATAATGTATTGATAACAACATCCTGTGATTTAAGTTTAGTGTCTTGACTATATGTATGTATGCAACAGTAATGTGTATTTTGTTTACTCTTTCTACATGGAAGAAATATGGACCTTATCGCTCCCGTATAGCTAGAACTCCCTTTATATTTAAGGTGCACAAAATCTTGATAGATATATATTTGCTATCGCCAGATAAAAAAAATACATATATTTATCGTAGAATCTGAGATATATATATTTTGTATGTTTATGTAACCTGTATTCATGCCTTCTATTTGTGTTTTATTAGACCATATTCTTGCCAACAAAATGCTTAGTTATTTATGAATATAATATGCATGGCCGCCCAGCGTGCTCAGGGTTCACGTAATTAAAAAAAATCAATTCTTTATTATGCATCCCATACCCATCCCGTGGGTGGTGGTGGAAAGGAAAGATCATTAAATTCGTCTTAATTTTGACAAGTTTCCTCGCCCCAAGTTCTCCAGAACTGTAAGGTCAGAGAGAAATGTCGAGTCAATGATATGGAATAGGACTCTCATCCCTGGATTTCCTGACACGCTCTGCAATGTCAGGTTTATATTTTAAATACGTATTCGTCACAAACCAAAACTCTACAAAAAAGTATATACAGATCAGAGGACAACAGAATAAACAAATAGCGTAGTGTAAAGAATACACGAACTGTCTTATCAAAGACTGGAGGAGGGAGGGGGGGGGGGGGGGGTTACCGTATACCTATATGGATGGCCTTTTCCAGCCCGTTGTCGTGAGTGGGTTTGGTAGCAATACATTTTGTGTCTCGGAGAGGCAACAGGATCCGAGTAAGGTCAGTAGAACTTAGGTTGCAATTCTTTTAACCGTGTAGCTCAGTCGATTAAGGCAACGTCTGGAATCCTCTCGGACGTAGGTTTGAACCCTCGTCACGGCCCTTGTGGATTTGTTCAGCACGTTTAAAACTGGCACTTGATGGAGCGCCGCCCTCCTGCTTATTGTCCAAACTGTATTGTCCCTCTAACGGTCGTGCATGTCCTGACTTTCAGGACTTGCGTGCGTCTTGCCTCCCGACTGTTCCTTGATGGAATCTCTGGTGAATCAGATGCCTTTGATATCGTTCGCCTTAAGCGCTTTTGATTCGTATTGGCATCCTTGGCGATATTTAGCGCCTTTTGAATATCTCGCACATTTAATGGTGCTACATAGCCTCCTCGGCTTGGTGCCTTTTGATCATTACTTTCTATATGGATGTGGGGTTAACCATAGGCTTACAAATATATAGGATTCATAGGACTACATGTATAACATGCCAGCCTCTTAGGTCGGCAGATGTTTAACTCCCTCGTCACTCGTATGAAAACCAGAACTCGTACTCTGGTACAACTCTACATCTTTAGTGGAGATATTTGAGTATTTTGTATGTGCAGCGACCCGGCTCTCTCTCAACATTCAAGTGTCTTGTCTGCAAATTACACCAAACCAGTGACACTATAATCCTTGTTGACTTATGGAATTACCTTTGACTTCTGTCGTCTTGTGTGCTCGAGTTCACCATATTGGCGTCGTAAGTGTTGCCTGGGAGCTTTTGACTTCAGCGACGCTGACGGTGCTAAATCCCAGGCTTTGTGCCTTCTTTTTCAACTTTGAAAACACTTTCTGGTGGACTGAGACTACGAAACCCAACTTCATATGTCGCGCAGGTATGACAGGAAGAGAACTGTGCAAGATGTGAGGGACCAGGAGCTGGAGTTTTGCTAGGAAAGAATCATTGCTCCATCAAGAAGACTCCCATGCTGGCTCGTTACCCTGACTTGGCTGATATCCTCTGATATAGGATATTCAACAAGAAATTAACGTCATCAGGTTTCAGTGGAATTTAGCGTGTTGTCAAGCAGTTCTTTTTATCTCTTGAGTAAATCGCAAAATGTTATGCCAGCGGTCGCGTGCCTGGCCTTCCACGCTGGAAGTATCTAGTGCAAGTTTCAAGGACAAGTTAGACTGAACAGTGTGGAGCAGCCTGGTGACATTCCCACAAGGAGAAAGACAGGTGCGCCAGAGCAAACTTTTTTAAAGAAGCGCTCGGGTCAATGACACTTCAGTTATCTATATTGCTCTCCTTATCTAGATGTATCTCTGAAGTTGGTTTCAAGTTCACCTGTAGGGCAGTGGCCAACGTAATAGTTTCATATCCAAAAGACTCGAGTTAGAAAGAAGGGCTTGGGGTCCACCCAGGACGCAACAAGCGTGCACATTCTTCTCTCCTGCTACAGCTACCCTGCATGGTCTTGGTGGTCGAGCCCGCCCGCACGCTGCCTGCATCTTTTGGTACCAGATCTACATGCTCCACGGCGACCCTGGGAACAATTACATCACATTTCTGTTTTTTTTTTTTTTTTTTTTTTTTTTTTCATCCTCTGGGAGGGCGAGTTATGTAACAAGTATATTATGTCAGTTATACACTTGCTCCGTATTCTCATTATGGACATTTTTAATTGTGCAGATAATGAGATGGGTCTGTTAATTCTAGTTGGTACACTAATTACAATTTACAAAAGCCTCTTCTCAAGTGTTCACCTAATTACAGTAATTCTTTCCAACATGTTAGAGGATTGTCAGGTGAGGTGAAGGCTGTTATTACAAGTCGACAGCGAATCATTATCTTATGGGCTATACATGCCCGTGCTTCCTCTTGGGTGGCCACCATTTGGTCACCACTTGGTCCGGGAGACATCTCCCGTCACGCAGGGTGCAGTTGCGCCTCCACAGATCTCCAGTATCATCATTTGATACTGGTAATGGCTCGAAAGGGCCACCACTTACGGGCTATTCATGCCCGTGCCACCTCTTGGGTGGCTTAATCTTCATCAATCAATCTTGGGTGGCTTAATCTTCTTCAATCACTCAATCATGATTGATGTAACTCCAAGAGTGGTTCAGTACAGACGCTTCAGAGATACCTCTTGGGTGCTTCCTCTTATATACAAGATAGATATATACAAGAGTTGTTACATTCTTGTACAGCCACTAGTACGCGTAGCGTTTCGGGCAAGTCCTTAATCCTACGGTCCCTGGAATACGATCCCCTGCCGCGAAGAATCGTTTTTTCATCCAAGTACACATTTTACTGTTGCGTTAAACAGAGGCTACAGTTAAGGAATTGCGCCCATTAAATCCTCCCCGGCCAGGATACGAACCCATGACATAGCGCTCGCGGAACGCCAGGCGAGTGTCTTACCACTACACCACGGAGACTGCAAAGAGACTACCTCACATCTTCAACATTCACCAACAACAATGTAACACTCGACGGGTCCAGTTCCTACCCTCACAAGACGCTTCAGCCTCGACACACAACTTGGTCAGACTCCGGTCGCATCCAGCTTCCACGCTCTCGTCCCGCACTCGAGCTCTTTAACTATGCCCCCATTCAGAGCACCACGCTCTACGACTCTCACTCCGCATCCGAGATCTATAACCAGCTCATTTAGCTCTGCCCTGCTCCAGGCTTCGTTTCGTCTCAACTACAACATTATTTCAGTACATTGCCAACCAACTGAGTGCTGTAACCAAGACTATACTAAATAAATAAAAATAAAAAACGCTAAACGTTTTGTGTAAACAACCAAATACGTACACATAATCATACGTTACAAAAGCCTACTTGCCAATTAGCAATTTACAGGAAGTACTATAATCCTCTATTTACGTATGCATTTTTACGGTGCAGAGCTGTTCAAAATATTCCATATCAAGAGCATATTTCATTAGACGTTTAACCTTTAAATATTTTAAATACGAGTTGCAACTGATAACACGCATTTTGTTTTTAAAGTGTTTATATTTACAAGATTGTAAATACTATGCTATGTATTCTCTCTAACCCAATGTACCTTCTTATATATAAATAAATAAATAAGTGTAGGATTACAAATAACTGACATTTTCGTTTCAGTGAAGTATACCATTAAAACTTCGTTTTCTTTCATTGCTTGATAATAGAAAACATTATTGTTGGGGTGACTTAAATATTATCTGCGTTCAGGGTTTTTTTCCGATTTTTTTCATTATTTCTTGCCAGCAACGACGGCTAGTTTATTGTGCACCCCATACTTATCCTGCGAGTAGCAGTTTAATTATTGTGCACTCTATAGTCATTCTGTGCGTGATAGTGTAATGCACACCCCGTACACATACTGTGGGCGACAGTTTAATTATTCATATCATCTGAGCTAAGTTTAGTGTGCACCCCATTCTCAACCTACTGACATATTACTTGCCCCATACAAGTGACTGAGGTGAGTCTTTATCTCAACATGACCTTATCTATGACCTTGTTATAATAATAATTCATTATGTGGCAGAGAGGGAGAGAAAAATATATATGGGGACAGGCAGCCAGTGTGTGTTTATACACGTTAGGTTAAATATTCCCTTAAGGTAGACTTACTGACCCCCGCCCACCAGGATGCAACACCACAAGAAGCTGGCTAACTCCTGAGTACCTACTTACTTCTAGGTGAACAGGCGCATTAGGTGATAAGAAATGCGCCCAACCATTTCTGTCCCACCCGGGATTCGAATCTGGAATTCTGGACTGTGAATCGAGAACGAACCCAACTGTGCTCCCGGGACCCCTAGAATCAGCCCGTCCTCCAAACAAAGATCCAAAAGTGATTCCATCCACCCGCCAAACCCCCTGTTTATGAATGAAAAGCGGTTTACACACGACTCACAACTGATTTCGTTCGAACACTTCCGGAACAAGTGCTTCACTGACGAGTTTTGTTCGAACCACATCGCTATAAATGCTTCACCCACGTATTACAAATGCAAATAATCGCCAACCGAACCTAAATACCTAACCTAACCTAACATATGCCTATATATGCACAATATGCTAATATACTATAATATTAATTTATATTTGAGAAAATTCTTGTTTTGAATGAACAGCAAGTTAAAATTTATGAATGCGTCTGTGGGGGCGACCGCTGAATGTAATGGACTTGAGTCGAGGACGGGTTGCCTAGAATATGCATAATATAATGTTCACATGATAACTCGATTAACATTTTTTATATTAGGAAAATATTCCTTTGATGGTACGATGATGTAAAAACGTGATTAAATAATTAAAACATGATTAAGTGCATTTGATGATCCTTAAATATTTAAGTTCTGAGTGATTATAATTGTGCCCTTCAGGGCTATAGTTTATTGGGCAGCGTCACTCATTCTGTGAGTTACTTATACTGTAGAATGACGCCATAATAATCACACAACCCCGCTCCTGTGCCAGGTAAGTCCACTACGGGCTCACCACAGCCCGTGCTACTTGGAACTTTTGTTCTGAGTAGTTGAATCTAAAACAACATAATAATGCGGCGTATTAACCACCCCGGCAGTTGCCCAGTGTACCTAGGCGCAGAAGACTGCACTGTCCGCAGGTTAGGGTGCGAGGAATGCATAAGAAAAACTCATACTATGGCTGGAGCAAGGCTCCAATCACTAGGCTTACGCTAGTTGGAGATTTGAACCCGAGGTGTGGTGAATACCAGACGCTTGCCTTAACCCACTTGGCTACAATAGCATCTTGTATTCACTAGAACACTAGTTCAAATCCCCGCATTACTCCAGTTGATTTTATTATTATTATTATTATTATTATTATTATTATTTGTTCAAAATCATGGGTTCGTACACAAGCCTAACAGCAGGAGCGGTATGCAGAATTCCTGATGCAGATGTAACCTTAGCTACATAGTGCAGCTGACATAAACTTCCTAAGGTTGTTTGTTCATCGTGTTCAACTTCCGCACATCAAATTTATCCTCGGATAAAACAGAACGACTTACATGCATATATTTATTTAAATAAAATACAGTAAGAAACAATAACATTGGGTAATACAACAATTTTGTTGTGGAAACTTGCATTATTGCAAAGCCATAAACTATTTAATAATTTAGTTTATATTAATTTGAAGTAAAATATGCCGTAAGAAATGTTTCACAGTCACACCTCGATCCCCGAAGATCATTCATCCATTTGGAATATAAAAAACTGTCGAATCCTTTTCTAAAGGTTATATCGTTGTCTCGAATCTATTTATTGATGGTGCAGAGTAATGGTGACATCATGCCCGAAACGTTCAGCTTACTAGTATTAAATATACACCTTTATGTAGCAAATAAGCAACCACTATATCATGCCCCGTGTAGTTTTAGATAAAAATTATTATTATTATTATTTATGATTATTGAGAGGCTGGTGGGTTGAGAGGCTGGTGGGAGAGGCCAGCTGGCTCTCACTTGGGGCGGACCACCGCACCTTCCCACGGGCGGCTCCATGAGACGGTGTAAACTCATTTGATTGGTTAATGTGGTGTATACTGTATGAATCCCAATTGGTGAAGTAATTATCTTGTTACTGACCATAAATTTGAATGAGCTGTTATATAACTCACTTGGAAACAAGGTAGTATATAGACGAGGCAAACTGCCTTGGTTAGACAATCCCAGGCAGTGTTCCCGCTGCTTTACACGTCGTCAGTTCGTCAAAACAGAAGAAGCAAAATGTACGTTCATTTAATTACTGCTGTTGTTGCTTTGGCATTTAACTGCCACGCTAGTGGCCTGTGGCCGCACGGCAGAGCTCCCAGACAGGCTGAGTGTCCGGTTGCTGAAGACATTTCCCCATGCATTTGTACCTCTTATGATGACGAGTTCCTCGACATTGACTGCTCTCTTGTAGAAGATGAAACCCAACTCCAGCAGGTGTTCCAAGCCGATTTCCCGTCCACGGTTTTTCGTTCCTTCACCATGGATAATAACCAGAATGTGTTGATGTTGGAGGATGGAGTGTTCGGTAGCGTCACCTTTAAGAACTTGTTCATCGACCACGGCGTTTTGGAAGGAATGACGGAGGCGGCACTTATAGGCAGCTCTGATACCGTCAATATCATCAGTTTACGAAACAACCGCATCTACAACCTGCCCTTCGGCACTATGGATAGCTACACGGTCATGGAGTCCCTAGATTTATCCGAGAACCTGCTGGGGGAGCTGCCAGCGCTATCATCACACAGCCTTAAAGTGTTAAACATCCACAGTAACTCCCTTGGCGTCCTCCCAGTCGACACACTCCACGGGCTCTCCAACTTAACGAGGTTCATCGCTTACAACATCGCTCTTACCGACATTATTCCAGGTACTGCTGTTTTACATCTCGCTATCTCTGCCACTTTCCTCCATCTCTCTCTCTCACTCACTCACTCACAAGCTCTGGTTCTTCAGGTACCTTCGAGGGGCTGGTTGACTTGGAGATCCTGAACCTGCACTCCAACAGCTTGTGGAAACTGGACGGGGACACGTTCAGCACCTCCGGCCGCAGTCTTCAATACATCGATCTTCACAACAACTACATCACATCCGTGGCTCCTGATGCCTTTCCCGGTAAGTGTTGTGGATGGTGTGTGTGTGCTGGTTTTTCTTGCGTGACAACACGCACCCATTCTTCCCTACATACACATATGGTGTATACGAAATTGTGGTTAATAATGATAGCCTCGTCTATATACTAATACACATACTTCTCATGGTAAATCGATGCATTTTGGATCCTTGATAACTGGATATAGTAATTAGACTTCCAGACACACAATAGTATGCAGATTAAAAATAAGCTGACGAGTAATATTGTATTGCGTACAATAAATCTGAACGAACATAAAAACTCGCCAAACTACATACGAAATTTAACCATAGCGTGTAACTAGGCTAGCCTTACCATGTTTTTATGCCTGAAGCACAGCATCTGTATGTAGCATTTAAATGTGTTAGACAATCTATGTACGGCCTCCAGCACTGCTCTGATTGCCAGATAGAGGGAAGAGCGAGGTGCTTTTGCTCTCATCATCAGATTGGGATCTTGTTGTATTAGATCGATTCTTAGGCTGCATATTTTAAATATGAAATTTGTGTCTCTGAGAGATGAGGTGTTGGGGATGTTGGACGAGAGGGGGACATAGAGAAGAGAAAGAGGGGGGGGGGAGATTTGGAGAAAGGGTGGAGAGGGAAAAAGAATTGAGAAATATGGAGAGGAGGATAATGGATATTGGGGAGACAGGAAGAGAAAGGTGGATATGGGAGATGGGGAGAGAGGTAATGGGAGGAGGGTAAGATAGAGAGCGATGGGAGAGAAGGTATTGGAAGAGAATGTAGAGAGGGATGAAATTGAGTCTAGTGGTGGAGATGGAGAAGAGAGAGAATGGGAGACAGGGAGGAAAAAAAAGATCCGGGTGTAGGCTCCTATAAAAATGTGTAACCAATGTAGTGACGACTTGGCAGATATGAGCCAGGAAAGCAGCATAGACCTCGGGAACAACAATATTACTACACTGGAGGAGGCGGTGTGGCGACCCTTGCTGGAGGACCACGTTCAAGTCTTTCTCCAGGGTGAGTATCGGGTCCCAGAGTGAGTATCGGGTCCCAGGGTGAGATTAAGCTGTGTGCTGTGACTTAACTAGGGTGAATCCTAGTTATAAATGCACACTTTACTAATGCAGTAATCTGACACAAAACCATATTTTTTAACTGAAAATCTACTATTCCTTGGTAAAGTAAATGAGTTGGCGATTTTTCTGTGTTCTTACTTTCTCATAATTGTTTAAATTTGTTTAACAAAAAGTTATATAATATTTTATCTAAATGGACTTTACAAGATTATTTAATTTTGGCAGGTAACCCGCTGGCGTGTGGCTGTGACGTGGCTTGGGTGGTGGGCAGCGACACCCTCCTGGGTAGGCTGCCACGGGCGACCTGTGCCAGCGGTGTCGCCCTCGACCTGCTCCACCCTGAAGACTTCGACCAGTGCTAGACCCTGGTGCTGCCCTCGACCTGCTCCACCGTGATGACTTCGACCATTGCTAGACCCTGGTGCTGCCCTCGACCTGCTCCACCCTGAAGACTTCGACCAGTGCTAGACCCTGGTGCTGCCCTCGACCTGCTCCACCCTGAAGACTTCGACCAGTGCTAGACCCTGGTGCTGCCCTCGACCTGCTCCACCGTGATGACTTCGACCTGTCCTAGACCCTGGTGCGGCCCTCGACCTGCTCCACCCTGAAGACTTCGACCAGTGCTAGACCCTGGTGCTGCCCTCGACCTGCTCCACTCCGAGAACTTCGACCACTGTTAGTGGGTGATAGTGGACCCCATACCCATCCAGTGACAGACAGGGGACCTAATACCCATCCTGTAAGCGGTAGTGAACGCATATACATCCTGTGAAAGGTAGCGGGCCTCATACCCATCATACGCATATAATTTTGATTTACTTATCATGCACCACGCACCCATCCAGCCAGCCAGGGGTGGAAAGTAACCAAACTTGGGATATTTGGTTCTAAGATCTCTGGTAGTGAATTTCGAATGAAATTTACATATCTTGAACATTTGTAATGTAATTATCTCTAAATTTTCGAATTTGTTCACGTTCAATTAAATAGTGATATAAGGTATGTGAATAGTTATGCTGATAGAGTTTACGTTTGGGCAGATATACTTCTGGAGGTGGTGCGAACCTCTTGAGATACTTGTAACCGAGCCGTAACCTAACAGTAGTAACGTCAAGGAATTCGCTGACCTTATTGGATGACCCATATCGATATGCGGCCCTTCCTGCGTAAAAGTATGACAATAAAATAAATAGAACAGTGCGGTCTTCACTTTATCTCAGGTCCACTAAGTTTTGTTGGAGTTCTCGGTATATTACTGGCCTCAGGCTTCTCAAAGGCAATGCAAGATGGTAATTAACTCCCTCTTTAAGAGCATAATTTTACAATTATGTAAATATATTTTTAATACATTTTGAGGGATTGCTGATCGTCGATAAGAAGGCTTTAATGGCATCTGTGCAGTAGTTGAAGTGGGTTAGCCTAAGCATCTTAATACAAATTAAAACATTTAGTAATTTGATCACTTACGCATGAGATATTGAGTTCCTTCGACATGAATGATTGCTACGGTTCGTTATGAATCTTTTCCAGCCTCCAAGAACTATTTTATGCACTAGAGCAAGCAGGTGTGCATCACAATCTATTAATGATCTAAAATATGAAAGTACATAATTTTTGTAATTCTGACATTTTCGCCATAGCTGAGGTGAAAAAACATCTCGAGATAAGTTATATATAATACAATAACTATATTCTACAATAACATAAATCTCAGGTAACAATTATACGTATTGTTATAATTATACGTATAAATAGGTATAAATATATTGTAGTAAAATATTTGGCGAGAACTAAGCTACAGGATATTTTTTTCACTAATTTTCACCCAATACAGTACCAAGTATAAGTAGACTTCACCTGTAAATAAATCAATTACAAGTGGTTCTAAAGTACAGCGACGATGTCTCTAAATATAGCACACGTAAAATACATAACAAATATGGTATATGTTGCCCGTAATGACAGTCACGTGCTTTCCGGACTCAACTTATTCAGAAGTGCAAGTTGCTCATTTTTATTAATGAGGTTCCGCATAAAGTTAGGAGCGGTCCGGATAATACGTTGATACGTTCGACCAAATAATTATTCTAAGTAATATAATTTAAGGAGGGTCTTCTTCTTCTTGAGAATAGGTGCAGTTTACATGAAGGGTTTACCCTCCCGATGACTGCACGTAGGTTCGAATAACTGCTTGGGCCTCCATTATGCAGACAAAATTGTTTGTCATACTCATTGTGCAACGACGGCCAGGCGTCGTGGCCTTTGTTTACGTTCGTGGCGTCACGCGAGCGTTCATTCCCGAGGGTTGCTTGAACATATCTGCTGAATTTATGAACATCCGTCCACCATGTCGGCTACAAATGCAGGTAATTCGTAGGTGTTGGCTTCCACAAGCAGGGAACGTAAGAGAAAGCGTTCAGTGATAACGTTTGAGGAGAAAATATCAATTTAAAATCAATTTAAAAATGTGAGGTTGCATCATGCCCGCAAGGTGTCGGGTGCGCAGAGTACCAAGGGAGCTGATTGAATTTATTCATTTAGTGTGGACCCCATACCCATCCTGTGGGCGGTAGTGGACCCCATACCAATCCTGTGGGCGGTAGTGGACCCCATACCCATCCTGTGGGCAGTAGTGGACCCCATACCCATCGTGTGGGCAGTAGTTGACCCCGTACCCATCCTGTGGGCAGCAGTGGACCCCTTACCCATCCTGTGGATGGTAGTGGACCCCGTACCCATCGTGTGGATGGTACTGGACCCCATACTCATCCTGTGGATGGTACTGGACCCCATACCCATCCTGTGGATGATAGTGGACCCCATACCCATTCTGTGGGCGGTAGTGAACCCCATACCCATCCTGTGGGCGGTAGTGGACCCCATACCCATCCTGTGGGCGGTAGTGGACCCCATACCCATCCTGTGGGCGGTAGTGGACCCCATGCCCATCCTGTGGGCGGTAGTGGACCCCATACCCATCCTGTGGGCGGTAGTGAACCCCATACCTATCCTGTGGGCGGTAGTGAACCCCATACCTATCCTGTGGGCGGTAGTGGAAATGGTTAAGAGGCATATAATTGGGTAAGAAACTGCACTCCAAAATTTCATATAACTAAGAAGTTACAATCTTGTTACGGTAGTTTTGTACACAAGTGGGTACAGGAACAGTCAACTTCTGACAACTGCTAGCAGGCTGGGAGCTCTTACCATTTCCCATAGCTCATAGGGGTATGGTCATTTCGTACATGAAGATTCGACAGACCGCGTTTTTTATTGGTTAAAATTGTATACATTGTTAGATTAGGTTGTATTAGAATAGATTAGGCTGTAATGGGCTCGGTTTTATTAGGTTAGGTTGGTTTGGGTTAAGTTGGGTTAACTTAGGTCAGGTTAGGTAGGTTTCAAAATCCGTTAGCGAATCGTCTTGTGTGTGCTGTGACTTGAGTCCTTTGCTTTCCCTGGAACAGGACCTGTCAATCGGTTAACAACCAGATGCCTAATTACTGCTGAGTGAACAGCCCTCCCTGACCAGGACTGTAACTAAGACCAAATCACTGGCTAGGCTCTGGATGAGTGTGTTACCACCTCGTCACCAAGGTCTAATTTTTATATCAAAAGTCTTTTATAGCACACTTAATTCAAGAACTGGACAGCAACAGTCTCTAAGCTGAGCAGTTTACATATGTGGTTAGCCAATTACAAATAGTTAATTTACTAATCATGCACCCCGACACTCATTCAGTGTGCGGTGATCTTTATATTGTATATTATTTAATGAAAAAAAAGCATTATTAAAGCTACAGCTGGCGTCTTTGGCTATTGTCATTGAGTGAAAGCAAGAAAGCAGGTCTTATAGTCTTAAATAAATTGAGCACTTAAGATTTTATCCGGTCTCCGTCCGGTTGTGTTCGGAAAGCATGTTGTCATCTGGAAACATCACATAAAATAGGGTTTCTTGTCCGTATTTAAGTAATACCAAATACACTAGGCTCTCAGGTCTTTACTTCATATATAACTAAAGAAATACTCAACGAGTATTATAGTTCTCGGCTTATACCATAAACATGTTACTAAATATTACATACCTTTTGCTAACTTACTAAATCGGGAATTTATGAATCCCTTGTTAAAATAAATTATTAAAAAACTTTCTCAAGTATTATTAACTAGGTGTTGCCTCGTGATCTTTGTGTTAAGTGCTCAGGAACACTTATTGATCAACGGAATCTTGAACTGTTGCAGGTGTTGGATCAAGACATCATCATCGGAGAAGACGTAGACCAAATCACTATTCTTCAGATGAAAGGTGGACTAACGTACTGTTCGGAAGGCAACTAGTAATTACTGCCGGATAAAACATACGTAATGCCTAATTACGCAGCTGTGAGTAAACTGGGAACATAAAACACAGTATGTTGATCATCGTAGGCCGGGTAAGAATCTCATTAGGCCAGCGGGAGGCGAAGGAGAATGGTGAGTCGTCGAAGAATTCTCGGAGAAGCAGTGATCGTAATCTGTGAGACTGAGGTCGGGCGCCAAGGGCCGCTGCCCGCTGACGGGACTGAGCTGCTTCACCACCACCAGGTAAGAGATAACCATCCAGAACACCTGCACCAACGTTCCCGCAGTCAGGCTGCAACGGTAACATAATACTTGTCTTAATGTACAAATGTACATATATATACACACGGACCAAAGAGCCAAAGCTCAACCCCCGCAAGCACAACTAGATGAGTACATACAGCTTACAGTTTACAGTGTTTTCATTTTAATGGATTACAAAGACTGTTCATTTGTTGGGATTCGCATGATGGTTTCAGTTCTGGGGGCGGGGCTCTAGACTCTAGTCATCTTGCCTTCCTCGGGTGTTATCATATGTGTCATCCATATCACATGTGTGGGTCCACATGTGTCACGTGTGTGTGGGTCCACATGTGTCACGTGTGTGTGGGGTCCGCATGTGTCACGTGTGTGTGGGACCACATGTGTCACGTGTGTGTGGGTCCACATGTATGACTTATATGGGTCCATATTTAGAACAAGAAAGACATACAGTACTTAAGGGAGATTGACAGTTGGAAATGTTCAGAGTGAATACCAATAGTACAAGTGTACATGGATAGAAGCTTGAGACTGATGAATCATAAATATTTTATAAATTTTCATTTAGCGTAAGAGTAATGGGAAAATGGAATGAATTGGAGGAGTAGGTTGTTGAAGCAAGCTCCATTCATAACTAAAATTAGATATGATAGGGAAATAGGTCAGGAGTCATTGTATAAGGAAAACTGGGCTCAAGAGGCTATGCTCGATTCTTCAGACACAAATAGGTGAGTACATAGGTCAGTACTCACAACTAGGTGAACATATGTACCACGTGTGGGTTGATATGAATGGGGGGTATGCACTTTACTTGGTCTTTGCTTCACCTATCCATGCCCAAGTACGCGAATCCATATCGTACGCAACCCCCTAAAACCATGTACCCAGCCATCTATGCCCCGGTACGCACCTGTCCATGCCCCAAATAAGGACGCGTGGGGGGCGACCCTCTAGTCTGGCCACGAGACGGGTGAGGGCGCGGCCCTGCGGGGACCCCGACGGACACCCGTACTCAGCGTCCGCCAGCACCGTCCTCAGCTCTTCGCCCTGTGCTCAAACGGAGGCGGTCAGGTCCTGCTAACGGGGAGGTGTATAGTGCCACGGGGAGGTGTATAGTGCAACGGGGAGATGTATAGTGTGACGGGGAGGCGTATAGTGCAACGGGGAGGCGTATAGTGTCACAGGGAGGTGTATAGTAGGACGGGAGAGGATGGAGCTGTGTAATGTGCTGGCTGTGGCAGCAAGAAGTCCATTTTAGAAGAAGGAAATGTTTATTTAATAATTCCCTTCAAAAGGAGGAAAGATTTTGACAGTAATCCACAAGAGGGGCGGGATTACCCCAGATACATCTATTACACGAACGTGATTAACTGAGGCACATTAAACCAATTCAGGACCAGGATTAGTTCAAACATATTGATAATTAAATACCTTCAATGTGGAGTATACTGATACTCAGTTAATCTTCGTAAGAATTATTGATAATAAAGTAATGTACAAATATATCACAATTAATTAACGTGATGTATCAGGGAGGAAATCAGTAGGAGCTATAAGTAGGATTCGAACCTATACTCTGGGTACTCCCAGTACTCAATACCTAGGGAGTACGCAGAGTGCATAATCCTCATCACAACTGTGGATTTTCATTATTATTATTATTATTATTATTATTATTATTATTATTATTATTATTATTATTGTATGTATATAACAATACATATATTTGATATATGAAACAGTGGCGAATTCGTCGGTACAAATGCACATTATATAAAGCCTAATACGCAGAGCGTACGGGCCTAACGTCAGAAAAATTGGAAGATATATTTACCAGCTTAATGGGGTAACACTTCAAACTAAATGAGAAGTAAGAGGACATTGATATTATTCTACTACATTCATGGACCACTTGGGGGGGGGGTCATGACAAAGTTGGTTTGATAAAGACTGTGAATTGACAGCCGACATAGGTGTTTATACACCATGTAACTGCCTTATCAAGACTTAAGTTGCTTAGCTAAATTAATTTTGAGATTCAATTTCTGAGACCATTGTGCCTCTAACATTTTACACTACCGCCCACAGGATGGGTATGGGGTCCACTGCCTTTCACAGGATGAGCATGGGGTCCACTACAGCACACAGGATGGGTATGGGGTCCACTACAGCACACAGGATGGGTATGGGGTCCACTACAGCACACAGGATGGGTATGGGGTCCACTACAGCACACAGGATGGGTATGGGGTCCACTGCCGTTCACAGGATGGGCATGGGGTCCACTACAGCACACAGGATGGGTATGGGGTCCACTACAGCACACAGGATGGGTATGGGGTCCACTGCCGTTCACAGGATGGGCATGGGGTCCACTACAGCACACAGGATGGGTATGGGGTCCACTGCCGTTCACAGGATGGGCATGGGGTCCACTACAGCACACAGGATGGGTATGGGGTCCACTACAGCACACAGGATGGGTATGGGGTCCACTGCCGTTCACAGGATGGGCATGGGGTCCACTACAGCACACAGGATGGGTATGGGGTCCACTGCCGTTCACAGGATGGGCATGGGGTCCACTACAGCACACAGGATGGGTATGGGGTCCACTACAGCACACAGGATGGGTATGGGGTCCACTGCCGTTCACAGGATGGGCATGGGTTCCACTACTGCTCACAGGATGGGTATGGGGTCCACTACAGCTCACAGGATGGGTATGGGGTCCACTACAGCACACAGGATGGGTATGGGGTCCACTACTGCTCACAGGATGGGTATGGGGTCCACTACAGCTCACAGGATGGGTATGGGGTCCACTACAGCACACAGGATGGGTATGGGGTCCACTACTGCTCACAGGATGGGTATGGGGTCCACTACAGCTCACAGGATGGGCATGGGGTCCACTACAGCTCACAGGATGGGCATGGGGTCCACTACAGCTCACAGGATGGGCATGGGGTCCACTACAGCTCACAGGATGGGCATGGGGTCCACTGCCGTTCACAGGATGGGCATGGGGTCCACTACAGCTCACAGGATGGGCATGGGGTCCACTACAGCTCACAGGATGGGCATGGGTTCCACTACTGCTCACAGGATGGGTATGGGGTCCACTACAGCTCACAGGATGGGAATGGGTCCACTACAGCTCACAGGATGGGCATGGGTTCCACTACTGCTCACAGGATGGGTATGGGGTCCACTACAGCTCACAGGATGGGCATGGGGTCCACTACAGCTCACAGGATGGGAATGGGTTCCACTACTGCTCACAGGATGGGAATGGGTTCCACTACAGCTCACAGGATGGGCATGGGTTCCACTACAGCTCACAGGATGGGAATGGGTTCCACTACTGCTCACAGGATGGGCATGGGGTCCACTACAGCACACAGGATGGGAATGGGTTCCACTACTGCTCACAGGATGGGAATGGTGTCCACTACAGCTCACAGGATGGGCATGGGTTCCACTACTGCTCACAGGATGGGTATGATGGGGTGTATAATAAACCAACTAAACTAAGGATAAACACAATACTAAACGATACACATCAATTATAAAGACATACGTTTTAATATTTCATCCATTCATAATAGGCAAGGAACAAATGAACATCGAAAGACACGACTGCAGAACATGGTTGAAGTAGTCGGTATTGTCAATGTGAGCGTGGCCGGGATACTCACAGCGTGGCCGGGATACTCACAGCGTGACCGGGATACTCACAGAGTGGCCAGGGTACTCACAGCAGAGGCGAGGCCATGTCCCAGCATGCAGAGGCTGTGGAGACGGATGATGACCTCTGAGAGCTGGAAGGCGCCCAGGGCGAGGACGGTGGTGCAGTTGCCCTCAAGGGTGTCGAGGCTGCACCCCACGAACACATACGCCAGCGCCTCCACCATCAGCAGCAACACCCGCACCTCCGTCGTCAGGCTGAACACCTGCGGGCCATCAACACACCGTCACCAGGTGGTGCACTGTCTCACCAGGTGGTGCACTGTCTCACCAGGTGGTGCACTGTCTCACCAGGTGGTGCACTGTCTCACCAGGTGGTGCACTGTCTCACCAGGTGGCACACTGTCTCACTGAGTGGTACACTGTCTCACTGGGTGGTACACTTGGTACATCTAAGACCTCCAAATAATTAGTTCTTAAAACCTAACTAGAAAGTTAGTGTCCTGATAACTACCACCAGATCTCTGACTGACATGGTCAGAGGCCTGGTCGACGACCGGGCCGCGGGGATGCTAAGCCCCGGAAGTACCTCAAGGTAAGGTGACATTGTCAGCGACAGTAGCAGCCCACGTGGTCTAGTGAATATATACATACATACATACATACATACATACATACATACATACATACATACATACATACATACATACATACATAGTCTCCTATTAGTTTCCATACATAAAGTGCATCAGTTACTGGTAATACGAGTGTGAGGGACGCTGGTACCTGGTTGTGTGTGTGTAGCAACTGAAGCAGTCGCAGCCAGCGCTGGTATACGCTGTGGACCTCTCCAGGGCTCCAGGTCTCTCGTGTCCTCGCCTCCTCCACTAGCTTGTCAAAGCCCCTGGCGATGGCTTGTATGAAGGCTCCTATATAGACGTCTAGCACAGCGGGAAAGATGGAAGTGATGCAGAGGGAGATGAAGCAGATAATGAACTTCGGTCCTGGCAGTAAATAGAGTGAAGCCAGCACCTCAGTTGTTGGGTAGATGATAGAGCCCAGCGTCAGGAAGCGAGTGTGCCGAGTCCTTTTCAGACTAAGTTGTCTCAGGCCCTCGAGGTACTCGGCCATGCGACGTGCGTGTCGGAGCGTCTGGGCGTAGCATAATATACAGAAGATGTGAGCAAAGAAGTGTGGTAAGCAGAGGACGAAGTACCAGTAGGGCATGGTTGCAAATAGGAAACATGACCCGAGACATCCAAGCACCACCAGACAGAAGCTGCCAAGCAGCACCAGTGGCAGGAGCCCCCAAGGACAGATGACGTAATTATCGTGCTTGTTCTTGGCCCAGATGTGGAGACCCACTAGCCTGGCACACGTCATCATGCCGCAGAACGCTTCCTCTATTGATACTTCAGTCGACATGCTCGACTTCGCTGGGTGGGGCTTTCCACTTTTCACTTCGATGTTCACTTTGGAGCTGTCTTTTTGGGCTAACATAATCTCTGGTGTTGCCTTGCGAGGCTAACATAATCTTAGGTCACTATGACAGTCCCATTCAATCAACTAAGCGTTTAGAGACATTGTTGTTAACTTTATCTTGTTCAGATCGCAAGAATACTTCAACGGGGTTTGTTTATTTCCAGAATTATTAGACAGCTCGATGTTGTCGGCGTTGGTTGGCGGTCACCACGACTGAGGATCCGGTGAGCGTAGCGAGAGCGAGATGTGACGCATGCTCCCTAGCTCTGCGACAACGCATTGACGAAACCCAGCTGTTTGCGTCAACACTGGAGAGTGTACCGTCAACACAGGCGAAGACACCGTCAATACAGGCGAGTGCACCGTCAACAGCAACACTTTCGTCACTTGAGTTAATGATACAGTAAATAACGGAAGAAGTGTACGTGAGTGTGACTGGGCAACCATGTACTTTGGCTCTGTGTCACCATCACTATGGATATTAGGTATTGATGGCATTAGGCAAAGCCCTCCAAACCTTTTTTATTGAATGTTAACATTGTTCAAAATAAATTACTAAAACTGCAACTGAACTCAGTTGTTTCAGATACACAATTTGTTCCAAGAGAGACAACAATGGCACTTTTCTGCAACGCAGGAAATTACCCACTTTCAAATTTCAATCCCTCCCTTTCCACAAGAAGTAAATTAAAGATCAGCACAAGCTTCGTCTTGGAGAAAAACTCAACGCCTTAAGTCATATTGATGCTGTGTCCACATTGTCTCTCCCAGACCATATACACTGATGGCTCCCTGCACCGCCCCACGGGTGCAGCTGGAAGAGCAGTTGTCCTCACAATGGGCGATGGCTTATATTTTGAGTGGGGAGTCCGTATAAACAACTGGTCCTCTGCCCTTCAGACCGAACTATTTGCCTTACTTCTTGCACTCAAATGTTTGCAAGTCTCCAAACTTGACACATTAATTGTTAGTGATTATCTTAATTGCGCTCAACTCTTTAAGACGCAATTGTAACATGCTCTTGTCTGAAACTTGACACAAATAAAACAAAAGTTATTAATGATGATAATTTCAGCATTAATTGTATGTAAATTTCATCTCATGTTGACCTCAGAAGGCATCATGTTGACCCCTGTGTCAGCTGATGAGTTAGCCAAAAATTTGGCCTTCAAAGAAGGAATTTACTATAAACTTGGATTGCGTCTGAGCAGCCTGAGAATAATAATACACCAAGAACCTCAACAAAACTTTGTTGATATGAGGCAAAGTTCAGTCTACACTAGCAGTTTTATCCATCATCACACTGTCATGCAAGAGGAGTCACATATCTATGGATCATGCAGTGAAATCAGCAGATTCCTGAACACTATTACTGCTCAGCCTAGATTTTTTATAAGTATATCTGAGAGTCTTCATCGCCTGCCCATGTAGACTTGATCAAACGTAAACTGTGTCAGAGAAGGTATCCGCATACCTTCCATCACCATATAAGGGAGGGCGAAAATGAATTCAGAGACAGCTCTATAACTAATGCTTAAGATATGTGAAAATATCTCATTCAAAATTACCTACTAACAGAAATTTCAGCCAAATATCCCCAGTTTGCTAATACCCATACTCACGACGGGTACGTATGGGCCCACAGTATGGGTATCGGGTGCTCAGTGAACTCAACAAAAGTAGCTGACATTTAGAAATTCACAGAAATATAAATGCCATGTCTCTTATTTTCCTTAAAAAGTGAGTTGAAGGAAAGTATTGTTTCCTACTGTCGGAGGGATAGAAAGCCCGTTAAGCTTATCAAGGTCTTCCTTCCCTTGTGTCAGTTACTGACTTTTCTCAGGATTCAACCCACAACAGTCGACTAACTCCCACATATCTAATTACTACTCGGTAAACAGAGGCATCGGTTGTTGAGAAACCTGTCAAACGTTGTATGTCAACCTAAGGGTAACACAAGTGAGAGAGGGATGTAAGAGTTAGGTATTGGTCATCCACTTTGCAAGATAAACTGCCGGGTAGTTTTGTTGCGTTCACACTTATTGAAAAACAGTTCAATAGCTAAATTATCTCCGACTCCATTTCCTCAATAGTGCTAAACTGTTGGAGTCAGATTATAACATGCTTGTCGGTGACGCCATATATAGACATACTGTGTAAGATCGACGATAGGGGTTTCCCTTTGTGAAATTTTTATTTTAACATAAAATGGATGACTCGCGCCGTGGCAAACATCTATGCAAGAAGTTGTTGCCACGGCGTTGCCCAACCACTTGGTCTGGACGATAGAAAGTCGGTCTCGCTTCATGCAGGTCGGCGTTCAATCCCGGACCGTCCAAGAGGTTGGGTAACATATCTTTATCCTGACCCCCTTCCATGTGCTATATAGTCGTAATGGCTTGGCACTTTCCCTTGATAGTTCCCTCCCTTGCCACGGCGTTAGTCATACTTTATTTGTTTTAAATAATATATATATATATATATATATATATATATATATATATATATATATGTCGTACCTAGTAGCCAGAACGCACTTCTCAGCCTACTATGCAAGGCCCAATTTGCCTAATAAGCCAAGTTTTCATGAATTAATGGTTTTTCGACTACCTAACCTACCTAACCTAACCTAACCTAACTTTTTCGGCTACCTAACCTAACCTAACCTATAAAGATAGGTTAGGTTAGGTAGGGTTGGTTAGGTTCGGTCATATATCTACGTTAATTTTAACTCCAATAAAAAAATTGACCTCATACATAATGATGGGTAGCTTTATCATTTCATAAGAAAAAAAATAGAGAAAATATATTAATTCAGAAAAACTTGGCTTATTAGGCAAATCGGGCCTTGCATAGTAGGCCGAGAAGTGCATTCTGGCTACTAGGTACGACATATATATATATATATATATATATATATATATATATATATATATATAGTCCCTTTATTCGGGACTAACATATACATACTTGATAGTTAATATTATATTGTGTTGACCTAATTACACCCCACGGTTAGTAAGCCAGCACTTAACCGATACTGGAGATCATATCTCTAGGTTACCATGTCTGGAGGTCACCATATTTGGTGGCCTCAACCCGATGATGACTTATATGCTGAAGACGTGACTTATCAAGCTGAAAACGTGATGTATCAAGCCTTGTAACGTATGTTGGAAGAGTTGGCTAATATTCTAATCACCAGAAGCTTAACTATTGCAATTCTATCGTTGTTGAAATGTTAGAGTGGGATATATAAATACTACAAAACTGTTTTGCTTAATATGACCATAGAAATAATGTTTTTGTTGGCCTGTAAATACACATATTTACGTGCATCAATAAATTCGTATTGACCTTGATGTGAGGCAAGTCACGTCCGGCTTCACAGAAAATGGTGCAAACTCTTGGGTAACTTTCATATAGTTATCTAATCTCATAACCTGTTGAAATAGTCGAGTTTGTACTCTAAATTTTGATAACGTTATGAAACCAGTTATTCGTGTTCTAGTGGTTTATTGATATTCCCGTCAAATGTTATTTTAATTAGCCTATTTTGAAATTGAAATAAGTTTATTGAGGTAAAATACACACAAAGGGGTGAGGTGAGCAAACCTCACCCTACCTTTGAGGTAGCTCAAGCTATTCTCACCTTGTTCAGTACATTGTGTTAATACATGCATATACACACATCACAAACAATAAACATATTACCAAACATTCTGAGAGATAAACATATACATTTCCTGCCTATTTTGAGGGTCTCGGTAGTGCCTAACATGGCGAAGCGGTGAAACACTCGCTTGGCGCTTCGTGAGCTTTTTGGCCTCGGTTGGTATCCTGGCCGGGGAGGATTGACTGGGTGCTAATCCTTAACTATAGCGTCTGTTCGTCCAGCAGTGAATGGGTACCTGGTTGTTTCAAACCTTAGAAATCTAATACTAGATAACAGACTGAACAAAAACCATCTAATTATCGCAGGTGACTTTAATATTGACCTCTGCGAGCCTGAACACCCTACTGCTCTTAGCTTCCTCAACTGTATGAATTCCTGCTTCCTCATACCCTTAATCACTAGACCTACTAGAATCACTGATAGTACTGCTACGACTCTAGATCACATCTGGACCAACATAACCTCTCCGCTTACTTCAGGTATAATCACCGATAGCACTACAGACCATTACCCCACATTTCTCTTAACTAACATTAACAAACCACCTCTTGAGTCAAGGGAGTTAAGCTTTAGGCTGCACAATGAAACTGCTATAAACAATTTTATAACAGCTGCTTATAATGTCAACTGGGAGTCCGAGTTAGGTAACATAGGGGACATCAACCTAGCAGTGCAATCTTTTCTTCAAACAACTCTTAGCCTTTATAACACCCACTGTCCTATGCTCACAAAACAAGTCACAAACAAAAGGCTTAACAATCCTTGGCTTACAAAGGGAATACTTAAATCCATTAATAAAAAACATGACCTTGAGAAGAAGTATAGGTTAGGAACCGCCTCCAAAGAATTCTCAAAGAATTACTCATTATTGCTATCTAAAATAATTAGACGAGCCAAAACTAAATACTATGAAGATAAATTTACCCAAATAAAGAGCAACATTAAAAAAACTTGGAGCACAATTTCACAAATATTGGGATCAAAGAAGATTTTAAATAACAAACCAACACTCCTGTCCATTAACGTTGGTCAGCTTTCAGCCTCTGATTCTGCTATTGAGTTCAATAGGTTCTTCTCTTCCATTGGGTCATCCCTTGCAAATGATATTCCGTCTTCCAGTACTGATGTTAAGGACTATCTTACAGGTAACTATCCACAGTCTCTGTACCTAAAGCCTACTAATTCCCTTAAAACCAAGCCTAGTGCCCTTGAGGAGATACCAACTTTAATTTACAAAAAAGCCTCCAGATCTTTAGCCCCTGCTATTGCATTGCTCTTCAATAAGTCACTTGAACTCCAAACCTTTCCTGACATTCTAAAAAAAGCAAGAGTAACCCCTGTCCACAAATGTGGTGATCTCACAGATGTTAACAACTACAGACCTATATCAATCCTGCCTAACGTCAAAAATATTTGAAAAACTAATCTACAAGCAGCTTTACTCTTTTCTAGCCAAACACAATATACTTAGCTCTTGTCAATATGGCTTCAGACCCAAAAAAAGCACTAACGATGCACTTATTAGTAT